TAAATAGTTAGCTTAAAGGTAGGGTAGGTACGTTTGAGAAACCGGCTCGAGATACACTTTTTGTTATATTCCATGGAATGCTCTTAACATCCCGATAGCAATGAATATCTGAAGTGCTTTGACAAAAAATTCATTAAAAAATGTCATCTGTGGAAGCCGTAGTACTGTAAAAAGTACGACCAATCATTTTAGCCGGCCCGGCTAAAGTAACTGGATGGCCTACCTGCCTGTCAGCCTTCCATCTGTGCACAGACTTATCTCGTGCCCTCATTGGTCATGTGCACGTTCGTGTGTGTTGGAGGAGGGGCTCTATAAGGAAGTGGCAGATTTTCTCCGGTTGTGTATTTTCAAATTCTAGCGATCTCGAGCCGGTTTCTCAAATGTACCTACCCCACCTTTAAAGTAATTGATAGACTGTTGGAAAAGCTTGCTAAATATAACCGTTACATTCTTAAAATTCATAGCATTTAATGCATCGGATAAAAAAGCTAAAATTTGAAGCATCTGAAAAAGAGTTTAAATTGTTAATGTTGTCAAATGGAACTGTTGAAAGAGCTAACATTAAGCATATCAGATAAATGGTGGATATGGAAACATCAGGTAATAGATACAAAGTTAAAATGGTTATTTAGAAGCAAAAAACTGTTTTAACAGTTAGCATTACATATCATCATAAACGGTTGCAATTACAACTTTCTTCTATTTAAAGTGGTGTGTTAGTACACCTGAATATGTTTAATTTATGACAAATATTGCTTTATATATTTAATAGCATAAAATCTAGTTCAAAACCAATTCAAATCACCATGTATTGTTAATGAAGGTGCATTCGAGTTCATCAACTTTGGGGGTGCTTTAGAAAAAAAGATTGGGAACCTATGCTCCAACATGCGTATGATTTTCTGATTGCATCTGTTTGACCAGTAACGTATGCAGAAGAACTACAGAGGTCCTTGTCCCGCCCCTCAAGTAGCGTTCATGTGTGTCTCCCCCTGGATGTATCTCAAATGTACCATGACAACCTGTCCTGTTTGGCTTTACGCGCCTGCAGCTAAACAGAAGGGTTCATTCCCCATCACCGATCAACAGCGAGCGTGCATCCGCGTGCATCCGCGTGCATCCGCGTGCATCCGCGTGCATCTCTTGTTGAAAGAGTTTGCAGCTACATGTCAACACAAAGTGGTAGCATGTGCGGATATTAGGGCATCGGCATGCATGTGTTGAGTAAATGAGTTCATGTTTGTGTGTGTGTGTTTGACCATACTGTGGCTGAGGGCTTACATGTCTCATACACTGGGATAAAGGCAGTGGTGCAGTGATGAGCGCCTAATCCGAGTGCATGTGATCGGCCCGGCGAGGCTGGAGAGATAGGAGCGTTTGACTTGTTAAAAGGGATGTTCTTCACTAAGAGCCTCGTTGGCCCTGACATAACTGGGACATAGTTCCCCTTGTCAAAGCTAATAATCAATTCCAACTATAGGGATAATCTGACAGCGGACCCCTGCTGAGCATGACACCTCGAAGCTGTCGTCACATCCCCATATATTAATAACAACCCAAACAGTTGCCAATAGCAGCTGCATTAGCCCAACAAGGCCCTCATTCACGAGGTAAACACTTGACAATGGGACTGATCCTCAATGTGGGCTTTGATGTTAGCGTTTGATGCTAATGACCGATAATACAGCGCAAGATTGAGACTGATTTGGTCAAAGATAAAGGAGTGCTCATTCCTCCAGGCCGTGTCAAACCAAATGACCTCTGAAGATACACTTTTGATTTCTTCTATCAGAGCACAGGCAACTCTTTATATTCCTTTCTTTTGTGGGAACATAACCTGTGTTTGTTATGGGGGCAGCAGGTGTCCCCCAGGGGGGCGGAGAGATGAGCTGGGCTGCGGCATCGTTCCTCATCTGGACGGAACATTAATAACGCCGGGACCTGGGGAGAGAGCTCCATCTGGGCCAGACCGGTGCGCTGCTGAGGGGAAGAGACCACTGACTCCACAAGTCTATAATCCCTCACAGAGCGCAGCTAGCGGGGCCTATCTGATAAACACATGCAACTTTATATCTTTCTTAGATAATCTAAACCCCCCCGCATGTCAATTTTTTTCCGCACTCATGAAAAAAGATCCTTTAATTCCGTGTTTGCAAAGTGCGACACTTCCGACTACAGATGAGTTCTTATGAATAATCACGCAATCATTTCGTCTGCCCTTCAGCCCCTATCCCGTAGTGGTTTCGGTGTTAAATAAATAACAGCCTGATTCACTTTCAAGCAGATGAAAATTATCCAGGAGAAGAGGCAAAGAGCCTTAACTAAAGGAATCACATTTTCAAGAGGTCAGGCTCTTTTTACTATTTCAGTGTGGCGCAACGCCGCTCAATACTGTAGCGTGCTGTTCAGTGGCTTGTCGTTTCCATTCTTATCACCACTCCATCTATAAGTGCTAGTTAATCGATACACAAACAGCAAGGACTCTCTCACTGCAGGAGCCCGAAGCATGGAGGCATGAAGTGTTAACAACATCTCCTACTTCTCCACCTACAGGCCTCCGTCCACGTCATTTCTATTTGTATATGTTTGTCCCACTTTTACTGTTAACTTTTTCTATCACGTGAGTTTCATCTGTGGTTAGGTCAAGAGAAATCTCTCAGTTTGCTGTTTTATCATCTTATCCATTTTGTCTTAAAGGTCCCCTATTATACTGTTTTTCATCAATATATTATAGGTCTCAGATATATACAAAACATGTCTCTGAAGTGTTTGGCTCCAAATACCAAACAGATCATGCATTGTAGCATCCCATAATCCCCTCTGTTTCAGCCCTGTTTCAAAAGTGCTGATTCTCTGTCTGTTACTTTAGATGAAAATAAGGAGCCACTCCCCACGCCCCTCTGCGAGATATTTGGTTAAAAAGAACTCAATGGTGCTCTAGGAGGAGATTCAGGTGATACGGTGGGGGGGTGGGGGTGGGGGGGGGTTACCTTGTTGGTGATTGGCTAATGGTTACACAAGCCAAAACATCGTTATGACATCACAAAGTGGCCAAAATCTGATCAGCTCATTTTCAGACAGGTTTTTATATAAATGGATCAGGACAAAAAGTGAGCGAATCTTTTTTCCTGAAACTTTCAGAATCTCTTTACACAGAGGGGACACATGTTGACGTATAAAACATATGAAAAAGTGGATTATGCATGATAGGTGACCTTTAATGCCATGTCTAGTAAAAAAGACACGATCTGAGTAAATATAAAAGAGTGCAAAGTATTTTCTCTGTGAAATAGACAGTCTGGTTGCCTGCCTTTCTGAACAAGGACACCATAGTCTACAAGTCTTAAGGTCAGAGCTCTGTAAATGTTTCATTCAGCAGATGTGTCAAACCACAGGGAAACATACTTTCAAACCTTGACAAAAAGTCACAAGGACTAAAAATGTAGCTGCTCACCCAGAGGTTTTATACAGTTTCAGGTATTTCCTTATCAGACAGAGAGAACGTTTTTGTGTCATCCTTGACTCATATCTAATTTATATTCTAGGGTTTTCTTGAGTGTCAGCTGTGGCTAACCAACCCTGAGAAGCCCACTGAGCAGGCCTGTCTGGCCCTTCATGTAACACCCCTCGTAATGAAGATATTTTGGTGTCATATCTTGGCGAGAGGGCAGCTGGAGAGATGACTTTGATCTCTGCTGAAGGTGCGGGTGTAAAGATCGAGATTGAAGAGCAATACATTAGCTTCCCGGAGTGAAGGGGGCCTCACAGTTCTGTCTCAGCAGACTTGTGACTTTCTGTCGACTTTTTCTTCCCATGGAGCTGCCTCTGCCTGATTGTTTTTCTCAGCTGAGGTAATTCAGGTGCACTAGCCTGGAGCTTGCCTGACTTGTGTTTATTAGTTATTCATTTCCATCAGCCTGAGCTGCCTTAGGCGATGTGATCTGCAACGTGCTCCCTGCTCAGGTGCTCAACCCCCCCCACTGGATCATCCCTTATCTCCCATGAGGCCCAGCAGCACGACACTAGTGGGCTCGTAATGGTTGAATGTATTTTTCTTTTATTAGAAAAATCTAGCAGCAAAGGAAGTGTTATGCTTTGGGTGTTTATTAAAGCATGTTCAGAATAAGTATTTTTGAAAATTATTCATTTAAGCCTTATGCAAATCTCACCTTGCAACCATCTTCTGTTTTTAAAATGTCATGTTTACGGAGCACATGTCATTGAAACAGCTGCAGTCTGAATGAGCCACTGAGGAACCAATTATGTAATAGTTCAATAATGCGTGCATTATCAAAGCAATACTATAATTAATTAAATTCAGCAGAAATATTTAGTAACCTCCAGTGTGCTTACATGGAAAACCTCAGGCTTTTTTTGTCTCATATAAATGTTGAAGATTTCTTGGAATATTCCTAAAATGTAATCCTGATTTATTATAATTTAATTACAAATTAAATGACTGATATTTAGTTGTTTATTGCAGTATAACTTTGAGTACTAGATAAGACATTTTCCTATTTAGTATCATAAAAGAGTGCTATTTATTGGTGTTCTTCTTTGGTTTATTATTATTTGACATGATTACAATTTTTGAATACCACATGTAACATGTAACATAACCAGCGTAGAAAACCCTGGATTACGTTAAACTACAATTCTTAAGAGCTAGGAACATACTGTATCCTTATTCCATACTTTACATTATATTATATATTAAAGTAACTAAAAAGATGAATATTTATTGCAAGTCTGTGTAAAGAGTCATACCAGTCTCCTGCATGTGAGTAACACATCCTAAAACCACCTCAAATACTGTTACTTTATCCCTTTTAAAATACTAAATCCACTAATCCTGAATGTTATACTGTATGACACGTTAAATGTCATTTTTACATAATTCCAAATTAAACTGGGCTGGGTACAACAGGTTTCCACACAGGAGCCACAGTAACAAGTCGTTAGCTGCAGGACAATATTAAAAACATATAAACGTTCCTCACCATCCACACAGGAAGGTTTGTTGCGTGTCGTCCCGGCCACTTTGCCCGGTAAACAGGAGCACTTGACTGTCTGAGAACGCTCCTCAATGCGATTCTTGTTACAGCATCGGTGGGCGGCAATCACCTCACACGTACCTCCCTCTGCGGATAAACAGACAAAGACACACACGGTTATTACATGTGAGACAATAATGTGAGAGGAAACATGTCACTGAAAATTACATATAGCAAACACAATGCTCCTGTAATTTTTCATACATCAAAAATTCAAATAAACAACAATTATGTGAGCGAAAGAGAGGTTTAGGGAACCTCCACTACCCCACCTCATCATATCATTAGCGGCACACTGCAGTACAATCATTGAGCACTTACACTGTAAGTGTGTGTAACAAATTGGCCCTCGAGGCATCTCAATTATGTCACCTAATTGCCTCTCATTCAGAGTTGGCTGTCCTCATTCCATACCAATCAGCCTATGGTGAAGATCACACCATTTGCCGGCCTTTGCACCCTTAATATTCACCATATGTTGTCAATATGATTAAAAAGTGATGCACTGCTGTTAACACTTCTTCAGGAAAGACCTGGCAGTCATAGGCCTCAGTCATATTCTAAGATGTCTAACTCAATAAGCCAATGCATTCTTAGGCCATACCACACTGAAACATTAGCTCCAAAGCATAGGTGACATCAGTCAGAGCAAATGCTGTACAAAAGGTCCCGCTGTGACAAAAGAGGATGTCAAAAAAGATTCTGTGAAAAGAGAAGGTGATGTGCGCCAATGGCGGTATTGGGTCAAAAATAACAATAGGGAGGATATCCCCCGGGAGGGCGAGGGGGTGATGGAGAGGAGGGACATCCAGAAATGAGTGAGACCGGCAGGGTGAGAGAGAGCT